AAAAAAGGAAAAGAAAACACAGCTAGCGACTTGATTCAGCCCTGGTCATATTGCTTTTGTTCTTCACTTTAAACAGGAAATTATTCAGTAACTTTCCCTTAACAACGTTGTGTCGTCGCGTTTAAAATCATTGTCTTTTTTTGCTGTCGACAATGGAACATAGCGGAAGGGGCATCTCTACTTCGTAGCGCTTGTGGCAAATCGTCTCGTTATCGTTGTTGAAATAGGTGCTTTGGCCAGGTTTATCAATTCGTAAAGTAACAGCAACGGGACATGAAGAGTGGTTTACCTTGATATGACCTGCTTCGTACTCATAAGGATATCGACAATCTATGATGTGGGCTTCCACTTCTGGGAATTCATTGTTCAGGACTCGTGCAACCTAAAAAATATAAAAAGCGATGCTGAGCATTCAATTTGCAGCGTATGCAAGCGAGTAACTTCAGATAGTTGACTCTACAAACCACCAACACATCAAGAAGTGCAGGATTTTTTTGCAAGTACATGTAATCAGTGTACAGAGAATAACAAGTTACCGTTTCTGGAGTCAAGCATTTCAGGTCATCGTGTTGTCCAGGTATTGATGGTAAGGTGTATGGCTACAATAAAATAAATACCATTAAACAATTTAAAATGCATCAAAATAGAAGCGCTATGAAACCACTGCAAGGACTAAATGTAAAGTGTGCATTGGGCCAAGTGCCAAATTCTGCTGGAGCTTATCCCTGCGTCCATAGCGTGAAGCCACTAAGGGCACAATCTATAACCCCCTCTAAAAGCGATGTACATGTAAGACCATAACGCGGTTACCCCAAGCATTAAGTTCGCTAGTAAACAATATCTGGGAGGATAGAAGCACTGTTAAAGTAGGGTGTCTGTTCAAGAGATAAGCGTGAGGTCTAGATGGCTGGACATTGGCCAAGTTCATTTATTGCATGTTTCCGGACCGAGACGCATTCAAACTCCATAAACACGCAAAGAGACCAATATCCAGCGATCTTTACAGAGCAAACGCTGTCAATTAACCAATTGAAACCTGGACATTTTTGGCATTTTCGTGTGACCTAAATTAGCTCCAATCTACTCAAAAAGGCATTTGCAACATGAAAGCATGCCTTTCTATCCAGTTAGCATCGCGTTTCATGAGATTTTTCGGTTTCTTAATTTCTTTTTTCACCTTTCCTTTTTCTTCTTTTCTTATCTTTTCGCTGCAGTTGGTGACCTTCTGCTAGGCTAACTTCCAGTTCAAGAATTCCCGAGAAAGCATCATCTAGAGGGCATATTCTTACCACGGAGTGTAGTCGAGGGAAATTTTCCTCCGAGTTTTTCGCTCAAATTTCCAAGTATTTTCGTGCATATTTCGCGCTCAATTGACCCTATCACCGTGATCTGAGTATCATTGGAAAGATCTTTTCCTCTTGCAGATCTCGAGTGTAAGTGATGCCAATTTTGGTCAAAGGTGATGACGTAAGAAGTGAAACAAAAGGCAACGCTCTTCACAGGCGGTTACAGGCATCACTCAATGGGTTATCGGGATTTATTGTATGGCATAAGAACACCATTTTCTTGCGAGACACAGCGGCTGATCCCAAGTAGGCAAGATAGCCCCATTCTGCCTGTTCAGGTAAACTAACAAAGTTGCAAACAAACAGCTTTTGACCTACCCCACTGAAATCTCCCACAACATTCTTGTGGCCTGGAGAAAACAAAACAGGCAGACTTAGCACGTAAATTAAATGCACCTTGCCGTTAAAATAAATAGTACATAATTGAACTACATGTATGTTCCAGGTTGCTGCACTGTAGATCCAGTTCATTTGAGTTTACCTCTAGCTACATGTACACTGTACTTCTTAAAAACACATTCTTCTAGAAAACTGTCTTCGTGATGTTACTCCTTCATCTTCGCTACTAATTTGCTTTTCTACCAAGAATATATGCACAGTCATGTACATGTTACTAATGCTGGTATCATGCTAATCGATCTATTGAACAGTCTCTTATAGTCAACGCAGAGTTCAATGGTCAGTTCCTTCTATGAAATATGCCTGCAGGGAATCGTGGTAGTTGTATTCATCATCTTGGACTGGATTCTTGTTTAGATGAATACAACTACCATGATTCCCTGCAGGCGTGTTTCATAGAGGGAATTGGTCATTTATTATTTAGTCATGATCTAAAAGTCAATAACTCAAGAGAGCAGCAGCAATTCGACTTTCAATGCTGGATTGAATTGCAACTACATGTTGCAAGCTGTAAGTCAGAGGCGATTAATAAAGACAAAAGTGCATGTCACAAGTGGGTGATGAATTTGCAGGTAACACGATGGTCTGGTGACCTTCATTTAATCATCGGATCCACAAACAAGTGCTGATCCATACATCTTGTAAGTCAGAAAGAACGTTAGTTAGTGCACCACAAAAATGAAAGCTGATATTCAGCCTTCCTACAGTGACCCTGTCAGGCATGGAATTTCTTCTGACCCCAAAAAGTTTTCAATTCATACCTGAAGCATCAAGCATGTTTCCCAGCTCATGTTCAAACGTAGCTGACTGCGAGCGCCTCAAGGCACAAGGCTGAACTTCATTTGGTCTTTGTTGTAATAATGCCTGTTGATGACATACAAATAGGATATTTTGGGCAAAAAATACAATCCTACCAAGGATATAGACCTCTCCCCCCAACTGAACCATCAGATAATTCCCAGTTAATCAATGACTGCAGAGGTTTCATTAAAGTTTTCAGCATGAGGGCAGCTGGTTTTCTTGGGCCAAACCTTTTGAACTGAACTTCTTTATAAGAAAAACTTTCCTCTAGCTGGTCAAGCCAGGGAGACAAAATTGTCCTCACAATGAAACCCCTGCAGCTGCCACACAAAGTGGAAACTGGGTGCCTGATACTATTGGCAGGCAGTCCTTCGATGCAGACTGCTCCCATGGCTGGCAAATCGTGGCAACCCAGCCACGAGCCCCCACCCAGAATAGAGAAGAAAGAGGCTCCCTTCAGGCTGATAAAACAGTGGAAAGAGAGGGAGGGACCACAGAAGGGGAACAGCCACTGAGAGGAGTTCCTATGCTCAAGAAAATGCTAACACTTAAGGAAACGCTGACTAAGCGCAAAACTGCTACAACGCCCTTTGGTCCAAGAACACATGGAGTCCTGGCATGTGCGTATACATCTAAACACCACTGACTGCTAAGGTAAGACTTGTGCTCCTCCTTGTGCTCAAAACATATGTAAACTCCTCTCTCCCTCAGACACAATTTTCCTCTGACAATCAAATGGGACAATTTGTTATGCCTCAGTTAGTTCACTTACCATATCAAGAAAGGATTTATGATTGTTGCCTTCAATGACCGACTGGCATCTCGCCCTGCAAAGAAGCCATACATGATGTGAGCATCACTCAATGTCCACAACACAACATAATGAAAAATAGTGAACAAACCAAATAAAATAAGGTCCCTAGGAACTAGCAATACCTGAGCCTTTTCTTCAGGTTTGGACTTGGATCCCGTGGAGGATTTGGTCTCTGTGTAAATTAAGAGATTTATTTACATGTTACAGGAGCGAAGGGTTACCAAATTTGTGCAAATTGCTAAAATTTTGCTCATCTTCAAAGAAGCCACAGTGCTACCTCGGATGTTGTCCGAGTTGCCCCCAGTTTGCATACACTGTACATGTATGTACTTGTGCAGCTGTAATATTTCATATTTGGATACCTTAAGAGCAAAGGATTTGGACCTCTGTCTGATTGTGCCTCTTTCAAGTTTAGTTGGGCTCTCTGAGGCCACAGTGTAAGCTCTATCTCTTCCAGCATTGAACAAGTCTCTTGGTTTATAGCCTGGTCCAGATGCCTACAACAAATCAATGCAAAGATATCTTCTTGTCATGCACTCACCAGAGCTCTAGATTCACATGATTGTCTTGTTTACAACTTGTCAATTGATCTCTCTCTGACTATTGTTTATGTATTTCATAAATGTTCTACACTGGTCAGCTAAAGATGAAATGATGATCAACAAAATTCATCACCATCTGCATAGTAGCCCATGAGTAGCCCATCTAGTCTATTGAGCACGATGCAAAAAGAAAGCATGAAAAAAATATAATGTCTGCTTCTCACCCACGCATTTTTTTTTATCATTGGTCTAAACTAAGACATAAAATGGAACCCTGCCTTATGGTCACCCTGTAAACAAGGCCACCTCATTATTACCGCCACTTTATTCTGGTCTCTTCAAAAGCTCAATCAGTCATTTTCTTATTTATAGAACCCCTCTTACATGTTTATGGTCACCCGGTTAATATGGCCAGATTTTGTGGCCCACTGGTGACCAGATTAATAGGACTCCACTGTACATGCATGTAATGTAGAAATGAAGTTTACATTAAGCAGCTTGTAATTACATGTGGAGTGTATTAAAGAAGGCTGTACTTCTGCAATTTTTTTTTAAATGAAACTTTCCAATAATTATGTTAACTATCTTTTCTTTTTTTACCTTTGGTGTGTCTTTGGAGCTTTTCCTTGTATCCTCAGTTTCCTGTAAGAGAAAGGAATAATTTCTTGACTTTCCATCAAAACAAGTTCTGGGATAGGTTATTTCATATGTTTGTGCCCTACATAACTATCAACTTAGGTAATGAATTGAGAAAAAAAAATCAAAAATTCTCATGATGAATTCATTATTAATAACTTAAATAATGCATTATGAGATATTTATTTAATAAACCCTGACAATAACCTTAAAACTTGCATTATACATGTAACTTCAGGAAAGATTCCCTAAGCTTCAGTTTCTTTTCCAGAAGTTACTTGGAAACAGCAAACAACCAATAACATACCACTTCTTTCGAGACTAATGGTGCACTGACAAGTTCTGTTATTCCTGATGGTACTTCTAAACTACCACCCTGTGAGGGGCAAGATTAAAGAAAACAAGTTCACAAGATATAAATAGCAACCATCAATCCTTTAGACTTCAAAAAGAAAGCAAGAAATCCATCCAACAGGAAGTGAACCTTCTCCGAAGGGTTAAGCTCAAACAGGACTCTTTACTTGAGTCTATAGAATGTACAATATTCTTTTTTTTTCAATTTCATAACTACATGTAGTACTTAATATGTTCAGTCAATTTTGATTTGAATAACATTACTGACAGCCCTATTAAATCATATCCAAGGCACAAAACAATAAATTAATTCAACTGATAAACCCTGGCCACTGGCATGCAATAAGATCCTTTTGAGAACGACATCAATTTATAAGTCAGTATAGAATTTTTACAGTGTGCATGCTATGAGGCTCGGACAAGAGATAATATGTACTAAAGGCATCCGCAATCAAGTGATGATGGATACCAATGATAGACCTGTGCTCAACACTTGATCGACACCTCAATCAACATCCCAACTGATGCTCTGTTGATATCTCAATTGACACTCGATCAATACTTGATCAACACTCTATCAACAGTTGGTCAATCACAAATTAGTCAACTCTCAACCGACTTCTGACTGAGATGTCAATCGAGTGCTAATCAAGTGTCAACCAAGGTATCGTTGAAGTGATGATCAAGTGTTGCTGGAGGGTATTGATGAAGGGTATTGATCAACACTCGACTGCAGATACAATGTTCCTTTAGTACACATGATCTCTGACAAAATTTAGGTCTCCAAGCACTTCCAGAATACCTCTCTTGCTAAAAGCTTGTAAAAGACTACACATAAAATGTACCTCACTAGATTGTTCTTGAACAAAGTCATCAATAAATCCATCATCATCTCCATCTGCTTTGTAATCAAAGACACACGTTCCACTATCTCGACTATCACTCACTGATGGGGAAGATGGAATGCACAATTCCTGGGACTGGACCAATCAAAAATAATAAAAAATAATTATCACATGATTGTGCTTCTGAGTGCCTGGTATTTTGTAACAAACACTTTCAGACTACCTGTACAATGTATCTAATCAGTTATAATGATGTTACAGGTAGAACAATGGGTGTGAATTAATTCTCAGCATTTAAAATTGAACTGTTCAATTTACCAGGGGTGAAGGTTCAGATAAAGATCTCCCAGGTAAATTGTGCACTGATGTTTTTCTTCCTCCAACTGGACATTTTGGCCGCGCAAACGTGAATTCCTTTTCCTCCGAAGGACAAACAGTTTCTGTTCGTTCTGTTTCTCTCTCCTTTACAGTATCAAAATTCAATTCAATGTTTTCTTTGTTTGCAGTAAAAGGATCCTCTCCAGTCTTCACCTGATGGAAGCAAGTTAAAAATTACGGTAAAACAACTAACACTGATGATTGACAGTACATGTATGACTACTATGTGTAAAAGAAGCAACTGACCCTTTAACCATATATTATATCATAAAATTTGGGTAAAGTTTGCTTCTGAACCTAGAGGGCTACATGTACCAGACTGGTGTTTATCTCCAGTTTCTGTAGCATGAAACGACTAGGAGTCTACATGTACTCCTTGTCGCATGCATGCAAGTCTGTTGCAGGGTTACCCCTGCCTATTAGCCTAGCGTAGCCTAGTCAATGAAATATGGGAATTTGCACTTAAGACCACAGCAACTTTCTCCTAAACTTACTATAAACAAGGATATATGTACAGTCATATAAGTTACTCACTGGCAACGAGTTCCACCTTTTGAAAGAAGGTCTCCTGTAGAAAGAAAAACAGCATCATGTGAAACAGTTCACAAGAAAAGTTATAAGCAGGTTCAGAAAATTCAGAAATTAAACTGCAAGTTTACACTTCACAGCCTGGCATACAAAAAACAAAATTAAAATGATTCCTGCAGAACATTCAAGCAATAATGGCAAAAATTAAGTTACCAAAAAAACGTCACATCATGGTAATACTTTGAGCACAGTTAAGATGAACTTATCAAGACTTAAGTTCTTAAGCTGACCCTGCGAGGGAAAACTGAACTTGAAGTTTACCATATTTCAATTAAAACAGATGTTTCATGTTAGTTGACAACACACGTTTGAAGCACTCTTACGAGGTTTTACATTAACTTTCTAGAGAATGCTTGAGAATTTAATCGCGGGGTCACTTAGAGAAATAAACTAAAGCGAGTTGTGTTAAATAGTGTTCCAAAAGTTACCGTGATATGAGTAGATTTTTAGTAAATAATTTTTGCACTTCTTATTGCTCGAACTTTGAGCAGAACCCGTCTTTATATGAACATCAAAATGACATGTTTGTAATACCGTCATTGCCATCCAAGTATACACATGCATTATAAGAATTCAAAAGCATGATCTAGGTATTCAAACATTGCATGATTCACCAGAATATGATTCGAAGTTTGGCAAGCCAGTTATGCCCAAAGTCCAACAAAGTTGGTTTTGTTTTATTGTTTTCAATAAATATGGACAAAACTTAAAACCAGGATTCTCCCCCCCCTCCAAAGAATTAGAAAAGAATCCACGTTTCAAGTTTCCTCTGTAATTCTTAGTTGAAAACATTTTGGCAACTCAGTAAAACAATTACACCTGTGTTGCACCTTGGACGTGAAAGTTTGCATTATGTTCTGCCAAACTTCAAATAAATGATGCCAAATCATGTGCCAGTTCATAAATGCACCAATTAGATCGTGTTGTCATGACGCATACACTGTACAATAAACATGTTTATTAGCTCACCACACAAATGACAACAAAAATTTCAATTCTTCCCAGAAACAGAAATGCACAACTAAAATGGAAGACTGGGTAGTATAGTAATATGGCAGATGTGCATCCATTTTAGGGAATATCAGATGTGGTATGAAGGTTCACCAAACATTTCCAAATTCTGCAAAAGTAAACTAATTTTGCAAATTTTTCAAAAAATGAAATTGCTGAACCTTACATGTATTTCTGCTAAAGTTACAAATAGACTTGACACCATTCACATGTATTTCACTTCTCAAAAGCATATGGCTTCAGCTAACTGACTGATCACTTGAAATCACTGAAAGTATTGTTGGATGAACCAACTAAACAACCAGCTACAGTTACCTGTACACCCAAGCACAATGTTAGGCAAAGACTAGTTAGGCAATGCTTTCGAGATGTATACCATGGAATATTCCATGTGTCACTTGTATTTTCTTAGTACACACACAAGCCTTTAGGCGAGTGTGTAGACCAAGAAAATACAAGTGACAAGTGGGATATTCCATGGTTCACCACAAGAGAGCGTCGCATAACTATTTTAGACCATGCCATAGAAAATACAGTGCCCAGCGCAGTCAATGTGACATGCACCACACACAATGGGAAGGTTAGGTGTAACACCGTCAAAATAATATACAATGGCTTCTCTGTATTTTGAATGGCTTTATTTTCTATTGCATGGTATAAAATGCTTGATCCAGTTGGATTAATATACACTGTGTTCAATTCAGCTCAAGCAGTTTCATAACATTTTACAAAACAAAGGTTTTGTTCATCATTGGCTGGTTCATCCAACTTATGCTGAATCAAATTAAACAAATTGTTGGATTGTGTCAGATAATGAAATTGAATAATTAGCAACCTAACAAGACTTTGATATTTAGTATACTCTATGTATCCTGACATTTCATTTCTTCCTTGTTTTCTTTACCAGTTTTTAGTCTTTTTATGGCAAGATATTTCTGACTTTTGAATTATTACCCAGACCTATTCAACAATTATTGATAACAAGATTCCCAAAACAATAGAAAACACGTGGACTACAGAAACAGCTGGACTGAAAAACCATCACTTTAAATGATCAAACATTCCAGAGTGTTGCAACACGTGCAAACTGAGTTTTCGCGCAAATGAAATTAATTTTCATACTATCTCACTGCAAGCAAGATAAAATTAGATTAGTCCATTTTGAAAAAATAGATATATCTGACAAAGTTTGCTTATCAACTCGATTCGAACATAACCGACTGAACTCAACAAAGCCAAACGAACGTAAATTTATAAAAGCATACAAACCTTTGTTTCCTCTTTTCGGCGTTGGCCCTACAACATACACAGAAGATATATAGCAAAAGAAGTTAAAAAAATCCTTGCTGAAAGATTCATAAGAAACAAAAGACAAGCTTTTATTTAGCTTCAATTTTACAAGCTGTATGCCATGTTTACTTCACATTAGAAATTTAATTAGGTTCAAGCTAAAAAATCGTGTTTATAGCAAAACATACTTACGGGATGAGCAGAATTAATCAAGACATTTACCTGTTCGCTATAAGAAAACTAAGCCTAACTGAAAGATTTGAAATGACAAAGGATTGGAAATTACTGTATTTGAAAATGCATTCAAGGTTTAGAGCGGTTGTCACGGTTTGGGACCAATTATATTCCTTGATAAAAAGTGAAAAAGCAAGTTTGAAAAAAAAATGCTAGCAACGAACAACGAGAAATTAAAACACAAAACTAAAGTTAAATTATAACAGAGTACAACATTAAGTTTCCCTAAGTTGCATACATATCAAATAAACGCACTCACTTCAACATTTCCATTGAAGGCGAGTCGAAAAGAAACCCTGGAGGTGAATCGGGGCAGTAGCCTAAGAAATGAAGAAATAGAAGTTGCAAATCACGACGAAACAAGCATTTTTTTCTTATTTCGGGATAAATAAATATCTGTCAATCGAGGTAAATGAGCTTAAATTTATGAAGCGTACCGGACTCGTTGGACACTGTTGAAAGCGACCTCTGGAAACCGGCGTTCGGCGTCGAAGGATCGTCTCCACATAAAGAAAGCTTTCTTTTTGGCGTCCTACCCAAACTGTTAAAATCAAGAGCCAGGCAATAAGGTCAGAGGATAGAACATACACTGTTCTGTCACATGATAGTCAGGGCAATTACAGTTCGTAGCCGTCGAGTTCCACCGAAATTATACCGCCATAAATATTACGCACAAATGAGAGCTTACTACGAATATACCTGTTCTCAAAATTCAAAGCCAGCTCTGTTATTGGAGAGAGTACCGCATTAGGGATAATATCCAGCGAATTCTTTCGTTGTGGAAGTTCTAACTCGAGGTAGCTTCCAGCTCTTGGTTTCAGTCCGGCCATGTTGGAAATTGAGGACTCGAGCAGTGGTCGTCGAAAGGACACGAATACAGCACGTTTTAACAAGAAAACGGCCACGGACGCTGTAAAGACTCCGAGAAAGAGTGCAAGAGAAAAACAAGCGGTTCTAAACTACTGATACATGAATTTCGTGAAAAAGGAAAGAAGAAAGCGAGATACTGGTGGAGCTTCGGTCGAACCTCGGCTTTCAAACTTTCCCCCGCTTTGCATGATAACAACATTATGCGCGATATCAGCCAATCAGATCACAGCATTTTGCATTGTTTTTGGTTTCCTGGGAATCTCATTTTCATTTTTCCCGCTTCGTCACACTTCCGGTTAGCCTCGCGGTCAAACGGCGTCTTGAAACCGCAAAACTCACAAGAAAAAAAGGTTTTTACTGGTATTAAATATTAAAATGCTCTAAATTCGGATTGAAATAGATTTCGGCATTCAACAAATCGGGTCCACAGTTGTCTTAACATAAATGTCTAAAGTACTGTGAGTGCATCAAAGAGAAAAAAAAAACACATTAATCCTTTGCGTCATACACCAGAATCTGATTGGCTTACAATAAAAACAAGGAACGTAATGTTAAAAGCGCGACTCCATTTTAACCAGGACCAAATTAAAAACTGCTTTTTTTTTCAAAAAATGATATCGACAGGCTCCTGACTGTTCCTCAAATTTTTTCAGCAAAATATTCTATAATAGCGCAGATACCCAGCGAGATACGCTTTGCCTTGTTCCTTCAAGTCAATCCCAAAAATATCTCTCGCTCCCTCGAAATTAGGCTCGATTACCAGCCGCTGTTGGGGAAAGGAGCCCATGCTCCTCTTTTCGGGGAGGAACGTAGACCGGACACGAGAGAGCGGCGGAAATCGAGCCTACCTCGAAATAATCATGTTTAAATCTCTGAGAGGCTCTCAGCCCGCAAAATGGGGCGCGTGTAAATGTCCTTTGGCGTCCCATATATATTATAGCCTAGCCTATCGCTTGCTGCGAAGGCTTCTGTACCAAACCTGGAAATATAAAGTTTGGAGAAAATATGTACCTCTACCCGGACCCTCGTCTGGAGACTATCAGAAATATTATATGAAGTACCTAGACCGCTGATGTACCGACGGCGCCTTTCAATTGACCAAACAATGTTCGACCACGTGCGGCCCCTTTCTCTGATGTTTTACAAAAGACGCGAACAACTACAGCAGACTGCTTGGAAATATGGAAGGTATTGATTTGATCGCTTTTATTTTATAGTAGTACACTGGAATCGGTAGTGACGAGTCTTCTAGAAACAGTTTGCTTGAAGCCCGGGCCCCGTAACGTACCGAAATTAAACAACTTCGAAAACTTTAGTTGCATGTTTTGGTTGTCAAGTGTTGTGCAAGAACATGTCTTTTCTATCAAAGACGTTTCATCTATATCATCTATAGGAACTTTAGGAAGCCTTCTTTCAGGTTCAGCCAGTCATGCATTTGGCTTGTTAAACTTGCGCTATGTTGTGTGCGTAGTTTCTGTGATAAATATATATCGGTTCTTAGTTCATAATGCTTGTAACTTATTAGTTAATTACTATTATGAAAAAAAAACCCTGTGAATTTGTCGAAATGGAAGAAAAAAGTAGGGATGTGAACAAGCAATATTGTTGCAGATATATCAAGTCTGATGATAAATATTTTTTTAATTTGTATATGTTCAGAAGTTTCTAAACTTTTACCAACTTTTTAAGAGATGCATAATAATTGTTATCATTGGCAGATGTAGGGGCCTTGGAGGCCCTGGGGGGTCGGGATCCCCCTTATTCTGGGTAAAAAAATTGCAGAAGGAAGAAAAGCTGGCAGGGCAAGCAACNCCCGTTAGCTTAAGGTCTGGATCCACCACCAATTATCCATTGTTTTCTTTCAGCAGGCAGTGTAATGAACCAGGATATGCAGGGTTCTAATGGTAATGTAATCAACCATTTGGACACCGTTACACCAAGCGTCGACAAGTTCCAAGGTGGAGAATCTGCAAACAGTCTGAAGTGTTACTATTGCATAGAATGCAACAAGTTATTTCAACTTAAATCTGAATTGATCGAGCATCAAAGATGGCACTCTAGTGAAAGGGCATTTGCCTGCAAAGAGTGTAACCAGTTTTTCAACTACACCAGTTCTCTTTTGGAGCATTTACGCACGATGCACTCTGGAGAAATGACATTATGCAAACTTGCCGAAATCACCTTCGGGTCAAACCCAGCTGTTCAGTCATCTAAGAACTTACCATGTCTTTATTGTCCAGATTGCAACAAACTATGTAAAAGTAATTCTGAATTGAAAAGACATCGAAGAATGCACACGGGCGAGAGGCCATTCACCTGTGAAGAATGCAACAAAAGGTTCAACTATAAAAGCTCTCTTTTGGAACACTTGCGTGTGCATTCAGGAGAAAAGCCTTACATATGCACTGAGTGCAACAAGTGCTTTAGACAAGGGTCGACTCTGAACCGGCATAAGAAAATACACACAGGTGAGAAACCTCACAAATGTGAAGTCTGTGGGAAGTGCTTTTCTGCAAGGAAAGGCCTTAAAGAACACAAAGTGACTCACAATTGCAAGCAGCCATTTTATTGTTCCAAATGTCGCCAGTACTTTGTAAGAGAGAGATCACTGCTCAGGCATAACAGAAAGGAACACTTCAGTGAGGAACCAGCCCGTGATAGACTCGAGGATGACAAGCCAGACAGAAGTCTTCAGGCCGGTGGTGGCGTTACAAATGGTGATGAGTTTGAACAAATCAGGTCTGCAGAGATTGTAGTTAAAGTGGAGAAACCAGATGAGGAGGCATTGAGCCTTGAGATGCTAGTAAAGTCCAGTGAACTTCTGAATGATCTAACTGCAGAAGTCAATAGGGATGCTCAAGAATGAGGTGGAAAAAGTTCTTAGGTTTCTTCAACAAGAACTGGGCATCAACCATGGCCATCTTCTTCTCAGGAGGGGGGCAGGGGATTTCCATATAACAAGAACAGAAAAAGAGTCAATGTCAGTTACTGTGTTGTTTGAGAATTGGTACCTCTTACAGGGTTAGAAAAATTTCAAGCCACCCACAAAACAAGATCTTGGTACCTCTTGGGGCTTCTTTTCAAAATTTACGACAAGCACCCCCCTCCTTTTTGTAAGAGAGTTCGCTCCCCGAGGGGGCATCTTCTATCTAGATAATGCCTTTTATGAGCTAACTTGCATTACATTGTTGACCCTGTTGTTTAATATTATTTATGAATTGTCTGATTCTGTCTTGTCACATGCAATGTGGTGTTAAAAATGTTGATTAATTAAAATCTGCATGTATTAATACATAGTTAAATTTTGTTTAACATGATGTGAACAAATACAACTTCTTTCTTTTGTTTCTTATTCTCTTTATCTATGTACAGTGCATGAAATATTTATATACAATCTTGAATTTTCTGACAGTTTGCCAGGGCACATAAAGTTTTCTTCTCTTTTCTTCAAGATGAATAAAGCAAATTAGTGGATATGAACTTATCGTTGTAATGCAGAGTAGCTGAAGCCTGCAGCAGTTAGGAGCTGTACATGTGACTTAGTTTTTCAGTGACATGTTTTGTTTGGATAATGACAGACATTTCAGTCTATTCGTAAGCATTGACACCAAGAGATACAACACTAACATGTCATTTCAGAAAAAATCTATTCTTTACTCATGAAAGGTTTTTGGTTTGAAACCCACTAGCCTGCATGGCAGGTAGGAGGGGAGGGAAAGGGGAAAAAACAAGCGTGTGAAGCGCATGATGGTAGGTCCCTCCTCGAAGCTTGCTCAATTCCTCCTGTGCTCATTTCGACCCTTTTCCTTCCCGTCTATGGCCTGCCATGCAGGCTAACCACCCACGGAACCCCTCTGAAAATTACAGTTAAGCTTCCTACTTTCTTACAAGGAGTAGGAATGGATATGTTCTGGAACTGCACAATACAAAGCTGTCATGGTATGTATGGTAGACACTCGTGATGTTCTTCTGCAAACTCACAAATATATTTGGTTCTCCAGTTATTGACCTTTTAACAATCATTCCATAACACTGTGGTGGATGATATCATAGGGAAAAAGTTGATGCATGAAATGTGAAAATTAGCTAAAGGACAAATGAGTTGTGAATTAAGAGTAAATCTACTATGAAAAGTGCAAGTGACAAGTAAATTTTGTCAAAATTTGGGAGTGAAACAGAGTTTCTGCCCTGCCCTCTTTTGCTACTAATACTCAACAAGACAGGTTGCACCCGGCTGGCCTCTCATATCCAACAAGCTCAAATGGGATAACACCCGAAATCTTGGCAATTATTCCAGTTTAAAGGCCAGAAGACCACTGTTGCCAGCTATGGTGTTGGGTATTGTATAATGGCTGACAGTCAATGGTTGCGAAGCAGTGGCCGATCTAGGGGAGCCCCTTATTTTGTGTGAAAAAGAAGAAATCAAAGAAAGAAGAAAAGCCTGCAGGGCAAGCAAATCAACCCCCCCCCCCCC